TTTAAATGAGAACTTTACTCCCAAAAAAGAAAAAAAAAAAAAAAAAAAAAACCTCTACAGAAATCAATGCCATAATCCTATTGATTACCCATGTCCGAAAAGAATTGATAATCGATATCAAACAATTTCCATAATCCAAAAGATAACCAATACATAATAAGAACTTAGATTCACGGATAAATAAATGCACGTTCAACTTACTTGGAAGAATACTCAAATCCTTACGAGAACCCTTGGGCTCCTCCAGAGTCCGATTAATCGTCTTCGAAGAGTCGACAGCGTGTTTTTCATTTTCAACGGAAGTGATTGCTCCCTGAGCCGAAACAACCACACGACAAGATTCCCATTTCCGCAGCCTGGTAAAGTCATGCCTCAAGCTCAAGAAATTCCCAGTAGAACCAGACCCATAATCTGAAATAGCCACCGACAGAGAAGAAGCTCGAGCGGAATCCTGGAATGGATGAAGCTTAAGAGTAGCCATTAAAGAAATTCCAAAATGTTAATCCAGAGGGGGTATAGTAGGTGAGAAATCTGTTGGCCAGTTTCAATGAAAGCGTGAAGCCCAGTGCGGCATTGTGAAATTGGTGGACGAGAACGACGTGCTTGGACCCAGCCCTTTATTGCTGTGTTAAAAGAAAAAAAAATACTAAAGAGATACAAAATTAAATATTTATCAACATCAACATTCATAAAGCTCGTCTTTATCAACCATATGAATACATATTGTAAGAATTAAAAAAATGATCACATTAATTTGATTGTAAATAATGTTGGTCCAAACCTATGGAGATAGAAGATATAATAATTATGCATAGGAGCTTAATAATATTGTATTATTTAAATGAAAGTCATATGAGTAAATGATTTTTAATTTATTATTTATATGGATAAAATAGAAAAATTGTTGGATAAGAAGAATTGAGTTGGGCCAGGTCTTGGCCCATTAGACATGTTGTAGACATATTAATCAACAGAACAAAACAGCTGAGGTTTGGGCAAAGGGACGGGAAGTACAGACATTGGGAAGGAAGAAATATCCACAGCTTCTGCTCCAAACCTATTCATTACAAAAAGACGCGCCGATTGCCTCTCTCCTCTCTCCTCTCTCCTCTCTTGTGCTTCCCAATAAAGACCACTCCCGCTTTTACTATTTTGCCCTTCCCCTCTTCTTCTTCTTCTTCTTCCTCTTTCACATTACTTGTCGCTCTCTTCCCATTTCTCTTATTCCTTGCTTCAATTTTCACTGCTATAATGGCGAGGTCGTCGACCCCCACGTCGACGTCGCTTTCCCCCATTAAACCCAAGGATTATGCTCACAGTCCTGTCCATTACGCCGTCGTTCTTGCTGATCATTCTGCTCTTTCCCGTATCGTTTCTACTCTTCCTCGTCTTGCCGATCCTGCTTTAATTCATACTGAGGTCGATTCCCTCGCTCAGGAGCGGATCGCCGACAAGATCTCTGCCGTTCTAGACCGTCGTGATGTGCCTTATCGGGAAACTCCGCTTCATCTCGCTGTTAGGCTTAAGGATGCTTTTGCTGCGCGCACTCTTTCCTCTGCTGGTGCTGATATTTCTCTCCAGAATTCCGCTGGATGGAACCCGCTGCAGGAGGCTATGTGCCGCCGGAGTTCGGACATTGCGCTCATTCTCCTCCAGGTCCATCACCTTGCCGCTTGGTCCAAGTGGCGCCGACGACTGCCACGCGTCATTGCTGTTCTTCGTCGAATGCGTGATTTCTATATGGAAATTTCGTTTCATTTTGAGAGCTCTGTAATTCCGTTTGTTGGGAAAATTGCTCCGTCGGATACCTACAGAATTTGGAAGCGGGATGGTAATCTCAGAGCCGATACGTCGTTGGCTGGATTTGATGGTTTGAAGATCCAACGCGCGGATCAGAGTTTTCTCTTTCTCGGCGATGGGGATCAAAGCCACGACATTCCCTCTGGCTCCCTGCTTGTGATCAACCGCGACGATCGCAAAATTTTCGACGCGTTCGAGAACGCGGGGGCTCCGATGAGCGAGTCCGACATTGCTGGATTCTGCTCTCAGACAAGTGTTTACCGGCCGGGAATGGATGTTACTAAAGCAGAACTCGTCGGAAGAACAAACTGGAGAAGACAGGAAAAAACCGAAAGCGTAGGAGAATGGAAAGCCAAAGTTTACGAAGTACATAACGTAGTGTTCAGCTTCCGATCGAGAAAAGTGGCCGGCAGCGAAGGTGATGTGGCAGGTAGCGAGCAGGTCCTCCCGCTGGAACTCGACGAAGACGACGACGGATTCCTAGTAGCCGAAAACCCTAGTTTCGGGCTTCCGGACCGGCATAGTACCGACCGGCGAAGACACAGTAGCTTTGTTCGGGAAGAGAGGGAATGGGTGATGATGCCGAGGAAAAGCGTGGATATACCGTCGGCGACAGCAGCGCCGCCTCGGAAGGCCGTGAGGCCGAATTTGACGGCGGCTCCAATTGAGGCGCCGCAGACGAGGGAAAAAGAGTACGTGAGGAGCTTACGGCCATCGGTTTGGTTGACGGAGCAGTTTCCGTTAAAGACGGAAGAGCTTCTTCCTTTACTCGACATTTTGGCTAACAAAGTGAAGGCGGTGAGAAGGATGAGAGAGCTGCTGACTACCAAGTTCCCGGCGGGAACTTTTCCGGTCAAGGTAAGAATTGAAAAAAGAAAGTAAAACACGGCAACTGCAAGACGTCTTTCTGGGGTCAATTAAAAGTGGGCCCCGTTTCTCGAGCCTTAGAATTTCGCTTTCTTGTAGCCTATGCCCAATCTCTTTAATTTTTATTTATTTATTTTTATCGACGTCTAAGCAACGGTCTCACGTTGAGAGAGCCTTAGACGCCCTCTGATTGATGGACGTCCTCGTGGGGCCACCATGGTGGATCGTGTGGGTTGTTTTGATCCTACGGTGGTGGAGGATTTACCCCACACAAAGAAAGCATCTGGGCCCCATTTTGCGTTTTCTCTGAATCCTGGTTTTCCTATAAGGAACGGGTCCCACTCTAAATACGCTTTTCTTTTTTCCTCACCAAACTATAAAAAGAAAAACAATATCACCCAAATACATTTTGACTCAGATATTATAATTATTATTATTTGCTGGGAAAAAGAAAAGTTTTGTTGTTATTATTATTATTATTATTATTCGGCTGAACGATTGTCTTTGGATTTGTAGGTGGCTATTCCGGTGGTACCGACCGTAAGAGTGGTGATAACTTTCACCAAATTTGTGGAGCTTCCACCGGTGGAGCAATTCTACACGCCGTTATCAAGCCCAAGACAATTAGCCAACGGCGGGAGAGAAGACCCATCTGAATCGCGCTGTTCTTCCTCATCTTCCACTTCATCGTCGTCGACGTGGCTGAGGCGAAGCAGCAGCCACTCGGCTGCCGGGTCGACGGGCAAGCAAAACCAACGTTGTTCGTGGTCGGCGGCTCAAGACGAAATAGACCCATTTGCCATTCCAAGTGGTTATACGTGGGCGAAGTCGGAAGACAAATCAAGCAAAATGAAAAGGTCAAAATCCACAAGGAAATCGAAGTAATTTGTGGTGCTGGAGGGAATTAATTTAATTAGTTTCATGTTTTTGCTCGTGGTTTGCATTTACAGATACGATGTAGATAACCGTCTAATTATAACTCACTTGTCCTTTCAGAATGTTGGCGGTCTATATATATATTTTGATTCCAGTCAACAATTTTAGTCAACTTGAAAGAAATTGTTGCTGACAGTTTTGTTTATTATTTTTTGTCGGAATTTTGATCTTTGCCCATTCAGTTCAATGTTCCTCCCCCCCATACTTACAATTTGAACCTTTTATTTTTCCCCCTTCTGGACCATCTCTTATTCCGATGCCCCACGGCTGGCCCCCTCTAAAATTGACGATCTTGTGAATGAACAGTACAAAAACCAATCATTTATGTACTTTATGATCTAAACAGACGTGATTATTGAATAATTGATGGTTGAGAGAGAGAACACAGTTGGATTTGAATGGAAATTTGAATTTGAACCGAGGTTATATCAGTGGTTAGACATGTAGTCAAAGTTTAGGGGGCTTGTGAAAATGAGATGCTTTGTGATTACGAGGAGGATTAAAGATGCAATTTATTAAAAAGAAAAAGATGAGCAAAAGACATAGTTTGCTTGGTTAGATGGAAACCAGATGTAGTTGGCAAGTCCTTTAAAAAAGTATTATTGCAGTGGGGAGTGAAAGACAGCCCATCCACCTATGGCCTTATGTGCGGCTTCTGCTTTCTAAAGGCGTTTCTGGCAATTATTTTCTAATCTTCCTCAAATTCCTCCCCCCAAGTTTCCGAATTTCTTCATCGTTTTCCATCCCCAGGTATGCTCTTAACTATATCATCGCTTCCTGCTCCTAATAATTACTGATTCAGATCTTTTCTGTTCTGATATAGCTTAGTTTTGTTTGTGCTTCTTTTAGTTCAATATATGTTCAAATTTAAGAAAATAACCTTTAGATCAGATCTCTCTCTCTCTCTCTCTCTCTCTAAAATGGGTTCAGCAATATGACAGCAAGAACCTAGCTGAATGTTGAAGAAAAGGCTAAATTTTGTGTAGCTTTACTAATCTGGGTACATATAATGGACATCCGAACAAGGGTTGTTTTTAGCCATATATATTTGATTGCTCTTACTATTAACACCAATAATGGATAGTGGGCGAGTCTAATATTGTTTGGGAGTTAGACACTATGGCTGCAGAAGCACCAAGCTGGGCCGACCAATGGGGAGCCGGAGGGATTGGAGCCATAGAAGAAGACGATGGTAGTAAAGCCAAAGGAGAACACAGCTCCGACAAGAAGGCTAGGTCTAAGCCTGGATTTGCGAAGGCCAAGGCCGCGACCGTGGCTGGTGCCAAAAAGATTGGAAGTGGGATATCTAATGGCATCAAGTGGATCATGAACCCACGCAAGAAAAACTCCAATTAAATTTCGGCAGATTTGTCTCCATATCCTTGGCACCAATATAACAGATCAGAGAGAGAGAGAGATATAGAAAGAAAGAAAAACCTACTTTTGTTAGCAAAAGGTTGAAACTTTTCATCATTCTGGTATCTGTTTTTTAAATTTTGGCAAGCATGGTTCTCAGAGTTCTGGACTCGATTCGGCTAAGATATTCAGCATGCTGTGGAATTCAGGTTCCATCCTGTTATCATTTCCATATATCATAGAATCAAGTAGTAGTTTCAGGCTCATGTCTAAAGTGATTCCTGTGTCATAATGTCATATTAGACTCTGATTAAATTGATCAGAAAGTTATCATTGCTGCTCGATATGCAACTAGAAAGATAGCAAAAGCTATTTCATTGTTTCACAGCTCAACTAAAAGAAGGAAATAAGCTAAAACATTTGGGGCACTCTTTGTGCAGCGCCCTTTTAACACACTAGAACAGAACGAAACAGAAGGCTGGTGGATAGATTGATAGGTGGAATTTACAGGTTAATATGTCATTGTCCTTCAAGGAATCCACCAAAAACGTTTTCTCCACTGTATGACAAGTAAAGAAAACCATCTTCATCCTTATTTTCCTCATAAATTGCGGACATTAATGCACCTGTTGCACGGAGGAGTTTATTACAATGCTTACATTCAACATGAGATCTCTAAGAGAGAAAGGATGGTCTCTCACCAGTAGAAGGTAGAGTGTCCTTGACAAATACAAATATAGCTTTCTCGGAACTAAGTTTAATCCGTTTACGAACAACGTAAACGAACTGTCCAACAGTTATATCGGCAGGGACGAGGTATCTGCAATGGGAAAGATAACAACCCCCACACTGAATGAAAAGATTGTTCAAGGATACAATATTGGGCACCTCCAAAATGGATCATCTAATTGCTTATCCATGTTTGAGATTCATCCAGAATTATAAAGTATCAATCAAGGGACTGGATTTACTGCTATAACATGGGATTTAATATGGGACTATGGCTTTAATGGAACTCACTCTAGTGCACTTTTTCCGGGTATCGCTCAATTCAACGAGGTTACCATCTGATGAACAATAATGTTTATTATAGATTTAGGTACTGGTGTTTCTAATGAACTCCACATTCAGACTACGTGCAAGGACTCCATTATTTTCATTTGACATATTACTGCAGCTGCTACAAACATATATGCTAGTATCTACTTGAATTTATCAGATAAGAATGTGACAACATCTAATCTATTCATACTAATTCATGGATTTATAACAAGAAGAGACAGAGAGGGTACTTGTTCTTATCAATGTCAGCAATTTTACTCCTCCCAGCTTTCTCGACAATCACCTGTTATACTCGTTAGAATCAGTACCAAAACCGAAGTAAATTTTGGAGAAAACGAGAAGAAAAGAACTTAATTAGCAGCAGCATTATTCTTACAGGTACTCTATCGGGGTACTTTTCTCTTATGCGAGCAGCTTCAGCCTGTCTCTTTTCTAAGAAGAGAAGACCCAGCAGAGTAAGCAATAACAGTTGAGCATGAAGTATCACATAATTCAGACTATATGCTGTTTGATTTAACTGAATAGAATTACCCAAAAGGAGAGAAAATAATGGAAACAACAACACGAAGATCTTCAACTAGCAATTATTGGCTTGAATTCATATAAGTTCGCCAACAAATGAACAAATTAAAAGCAATTAACCTGAATTTCAATTCCATGTCCCCAAATACTAGGCCTAGTGGTTCAATTATGGAACCCAAAGTAAAATCTCAATAGAAATACACGAATTACGCCAAAAAAAAAATATATATATATATATACTAAAAGAAGAAAACGGATGTGTATAAAGCTTGAGCGACTAAAATTAAATGATTACCCAAAGGAATTCCGAGTTTGAACGAGCTTTTAGCCATGGATTAGAATCTCACGCGACGATTGCTCTCGGCAAAATCTGAAGATAGCCAAACGTTACAGCCCCACAAAGAATTCAGTTTCGAGAAAAGCAGAATCAAAATGAAAAAGCGAAGAAAGCAGATTGCAATGATATACCCAACTGAAGATCAAAAAAAGGCGTTTAGAATTTCACTATTTCAGTGATGAATTTGAAAAAGGTAAGTGAAAGGAGAATTTAAACACAGATGGTAGTTGATCATGGCTGGTGAGTTTGGTAGATGAACGAACCTCTTAGCCGTTCAAATACGTATCTATCAGCCTACCTATTCTTTCTCGTCGGAGCAGATTCCCCGTCTCTCAAGTTATCACTCAGTGTGAGCCGTCCATTTAAAACAGGCCCGATTCTGTAACTATTTTTCAGAATATTTACGCAACGAATAAAATAAATAAAAATAAAAATATTTGAAGAAGAACGAATTATTTATTTCTTTTTTTTTTTTTTGATACAATTTAAGGAGAATTTTCTTCCAAGATGAAATAAAATCTAAAAGATTTTTTTAAAAAAAAAAATCAAAACAAATAATATTTGATTAACGTAAGAGAATAATCTAAAATAAATCAAAATACATGCAACCCATAATCAAATTAAACCAATGGCAACTAAGACAAAAATCTGGGAACAAAAAAAAAAACAAAACAAATAAATCAAAGATATTTTATAGATATTTTCCATCGACCATTTTTTCAACCTTGGTTGACACAAAACTTTCCAAATTTTGCTTTTGATATCATGATATTCTTCTTAGTTAGCTAATATATATATATATATTCTTGAAAAAGACAGAATCACATAAAACAAAGGAGTATTTATGGGAGATGTGAAAGATTTGAATGAAGAACACGTAAGAGAGAAAGAGAGAGCAGTGACAAGGACATCACAGTTTGATTATTTTCCTTGTTTCTTTTCTGTATAATCATATCTTTACCATATAATGAAAAAAGAGAGAGGCTGCAATGTTTAAAGAAGTTTCAGCACAGTCTTTAAGCTTCCGTCTTTTTTGTGTTTCTGGGTGGCATCAACAACTGTGTCCTGGACGACATGTAGGAAATCTCAAATGTGTATCATTTCATATCATTTCATCATTTGCGTGTGCTTCGTTTCTCTCTTATCTCTCCTTCTCTCACTTTGAAAAGCAATGATTCTCTCAAAACCTTCTGCTCCACACTGCATTCTCATCTTCCCCACAACGCCTGTGAACTTCCGTTATCCTTTCTACAGACTCACAAATCCCACTGCATTTCCAGTCAAATGAAGCCGCGCATGGATGTCCACTCTGACCCTTCACCTCGCAATCTTGCACACCAGATACCGTTAGACATTTACCATTTCTTGGGAGTTATTTTGAGCTTTTGAGAACCAGGACTAATGGGGTTTCATAATTTACCGGGTGGGGTACCGCAGCATAGTTTCTTGTCGTCCACATGCTCCACATCTAAACCAATCAACCAAGATCCCAATGAGACGTCTTCGTTAGCATATTTGTGCAGCACATCTCTGCACGTTGTTAGGATTATTGAAAGGAGTAGCTCCACGTTAGCTAATTAAGAGGAAAATCATAGGTTTAAGTAAAGAACACTATCTCCATTAGTATGAGGCCTTTTGGGATGACTAAAAGTAAAGTCATAAGAGCTCATGCTTAAAGTTGACAATATCATACCATTGTGGAGGTATGTGATTCCTAACACTAGTTTTATACAAAAAGCACTGTGATTTTTTTTTTTAATAATCTCGTAATGAGAATAGAGGCTTGTGGGTTTTTAGTTATAACTTGGAATGAAAGACAAAGATAGTTCTGGATTAGCTTTGCCTACTACATGAGAATCGATTTGAAACAATGTGTGATAAGAAAAGATGGTTAGTGAAGCAATCTGGGATTGTGAGGATGGAAACTTACTGATTCTTTAGTATATACTTTGCTAATTCCCTTGAAATTGCATAAAGCTGCCCCGTGGCATGACGAAAGTACTTGTTTCTTTCTCCACCAAATATCCAATGCTCTGGTTCATGGTACTTTACTCCCCTGTGGCAAAGGAAAAAGAAAAGATGTTTAAGAAATCAAAGATTACAGATTCCGACTATCAGCGTTAGCTACAAAACATAGAAGTAACACTCACTTTTGTGCAAGGACAGGTCCAGACTTCATGCAACCAATATAAACCCGAGGCTTCATTCGATGTGCAGCTAAAATTGATCCGAGAGTAGCTGCAATAAGTCATAAAGCAAGAACAATATGAACGCGTAATCAAAGCTCTGAAATAACAAAACATTCTGTTCCTCAAGGACCTCAATGAAAAATGATAATAACTGGTTCAAACGCTCATCTCATAGACTTTTACCTAAGTTGACATGGACATCGTCATCGACTTTAATATAAAACTCAGCATCCCACATCGCAACAGCAGTGGCAAAATAAGTTTTTGTCTTGCCTGACAGTTCTAGATAGCCTTCGACATGATTCTGCTTTCATTATTGGAAAAAAATGCGAATGCATAAGTTGTATTGTTGCACGTAATTCTTGCATTTAGTTGAACACAACAGGGAAATAACAGCACTACCAGTCTCAAGAAATCTTTATTAGTAAGCTCCTCTGCAGCAACAGTTTTATCAAGAATGCCACCGGATGTTGAACTAGTAACATCGAGACAGGATGAGAAATTTTTATTCATTACTTAGTGTATTCTCTACATAACTAAAACATGTTCATGAGATGCTAGGTGAACATATGGCAAAGGACCATAGATGAATGCTAGCTAATTCATGGATCTTCAAAGTGTTCTGTGAATTCAGCTTCATTAATTATGCAGACTACATTATTTTCTTACCTATGTCCTATAACAAAACGTATGATTATGCCCATCTCTTCCTCCAGCTTCTTTCTATTTCCACCTTGAAAATATTTTCCCCATTAGAACAGTTTGACACTAAAATAAATGTTCATGTTCCCTCAAACTAGTTGAAAACAAACATAAATTTATACATGGGACTATTGGTTTTCACCTTGTGGCATCCAAGTGCTGCGAATCGAGTCTCTTCGCTTCCGACTGTTAAAAGCTGTATTAATTCCTATAACCATAAAGTATTTTTGTCTCTTTGAAGTTGAATCATTAGTCTTTGAATTGTCCAATGTGAGAGATCCATTTGAAGCAGATTCGTTATCTTCTAAGGCAGCTGCCAATTTCCTTTCCAAATCTGCAATCGTGTGATTCAGTTCCCTGTAACCATACAGATAACTTCTATAGAACATTTGAAAAAACATAAGCACTGATAGCAGTGTTTGAAGAAACAAGCGGCTTACTGGATACTCAGCTGTGTCCTTGAATTCTGACTTATGCCTGCATTGTATGCATTCTTCACCAAAAAGAATTACAGTGACACAGTCAAACAGACCCCAAATTAGTAACAGGTGAGAGCGTCTAAAAGATCCCAAATTAGTGTAAAGTTTAGTAAATTGATGAAAAGCAGATGTTTGAAAGATAAACTCACACGTTCTGGATTACACTCCTCAGATTTTATCGTCCTTTGAGCATCAGCAACCCTAAAAGTTTTTGAAGTTCCTTTACCTTCTGGAACCATCCACATTCTGGGTAATGTATGAAAAGGAATGAAATCCAAGCATTGAAGTTAATAATACCCAAGTTCAAAAAAGATTGATCGTAGCAGAGAGTAACGAATACGATAATAGTTTCATCAATGCTAAAATCAAAGGTTATCCGCCGCCAATAGAAAATAGAACTGCAGATGAAAGTTTCCAAGCAATATAGAAATTGAAATCAGTTGAAAATCTACATCGCCAATGTAAATTATTTAGTAAACAAACTGGGGAATTCGTGGTTTAAGCCTTGAGGTATAAATGGAATCCAAACCCAAGAAAGATTAAGAGAAAGAAACCTGTTAGTGAAGAACATTCCAGCGCAAAAGCTCCCAAGACATAGGAGAAGAACCCAACTCCTAGAGAATGCATTTCTTGAAGCAAACTCGCCGCCTCCTCTGTTCTTCATCGGCATTTCCCTCCTTTCCCCAACTTAGTACACTCTACACACTTGAGATTCAAAAGAGTAAAGTAAAATTAAAGGAAGTAAATGAAAACGAACCAAGGAAAGAAACCCAGAAAGAATAATGGAGCAGCAATTAGGGAAGGTACGGCTTTGTGGGTCAAATGGATTGAAACCCCGTTTGTTTACAATCGAATTCGGGTTTTATCTCAAAAGTGGAAATTGGGTGGTTTCTCCGTACACCATTAACAATGGTGTTGAGTTAAAAACTCCGATCCCGTATCGAGCACCAACAGCAGCAGTGATTTTGCTTTCATTTTCGGTTAGGAGTACAGCACTTGTCAATAATGATGAAGTGGGAACTTCTGAATATATTAAAGGGATGAGGCAATTGTGTTTAACCTTGAGTTGAACATTCCTTTGAGGAATAAATAACTTTTGGTCGTCATCCATAATTTCATCCCCAATTTTCAATAAACCACAGGGAGCAGAAATTTGTTCTTCTGCACAAAAGTGTCACTTACATTTTAGGAAACCCATTGTCTAAAAGAAGAACACTTTTTAGAAAACGCCTTTAAACATTTTTGCACAAAAATGGAAATAACCGAAAACGTAAATTAGTATTTTATTTATAAAATAAGGGTAACAGCCCAAGTCCATAGCCCAATTCAAGGGTGAACCAGATAGTCCATAGCCCAGTTTTGACAGTTACGGGCCATTGGCCAAATCCAATGGGCTCTGGTTGGTCCATGTTTGAGTGGATATACGGGCCTTGGCCCAATTCAAGGGTGAATCAGTTCCGCTTCTTCCATCTTCATTGCCCGCCGTTTTCGCCTGTTGTTGAAACTTCTCTGTTTCCTGCTGGGATTTTGGAGAGGTTTTTGAAAGCACCAAAAAGAATGGAATTTGAGAAGAGGAAAGCTGCGACCATGGCGTCACTGGGCTCAACTGAGACCGACAAATCACCTAAGGGAAGCTTGGATACCCCTATTATACCTCTTATCAACACTCTCAACAACCATCCGTCTTACTTCACCACAAGTTCCTGCTCTGGTCGTATTTCAATTCTCTCTCAACCAGTCTGTAGCACCTCTGCCGCCGCCCCGAAGCCGAGGAAGAAAGCTCTAGGTGGTTCTTGGCTGTTTGTTAGTCACGAGTTTGCCGATCCCAACTCAGTAATCGACCTCCTCTTCCGTTCTCCATCAACTAATGGGGAGTTATCTGAGCTTGTGTTCAGGTTCGAACCTCTGATCATAGCAATTGAATGCAAGGACCTTGGATCGGCTCAGGATTTGGTTTCCACTGCTATATCTAGTGGGTTCAGAGAATCAGGCATTACCAGTGCTAGCAAGCGTGTAATAATTGCAATTCGCTGTTCAATTCGAATGGAGGTGCCTTTGGGAACTACCGAAAAGATTATGGTCTCACCCGAGTACGTCCGGTACCTTGTTGATGTAGCAAATGAGAAGATGGTGGCCAATAAGAAGAGAACTGATGGGTTTCTGAAGGCATTGCAAAGTCGTGTTTCTGCGGTTACTAATGTTTCGCAAACGTGTCAAGGAATATCATTGAGGGAGGCAATGGAGGAGGCAAATGATTTGCTAGATAGCAAGGAACATAGTTGTGCTGATGAGGAAGATTGTGGAGCTTTAGAAGGCGGGAATAGGAATGCCAATTCTGGTAAACTGATCACTAGCAGATAATATCTATAGTTTAAGTGTCTATCTAGGTGTTTGAATAATGCGACCCCTTGATGTTTAACCTGAGAGAAATTTGGAATTCTAACTGTTAGTGATTCATATATTTCTTCAATTATTAGATTCAAATGTCTAGGAAAAGTCTTGAGAATTATTTCATGTGGTATGATAATTACTTGTTCGAAAGAACGGAAAAGGAATCTCTTTATTTTTTACTGTATGGACAAACAAAAAATCAACTTCAATAAAATTGGACAACGTTGATTAGACGTATACACGCTGTGATTAAGGTGTATTGATTCTAGTTCAAGTAGTATTGACTATTACTGAAATTTTGTAATTGCAGGACTGCTTTCCTTTTAATCTGAAAGCAAGTCTGAGTCTTTGAATCATTGGCAGGATCATCAGAAGCATGCAATTATAGTTTATCTGTTGAACAGATGGGCATTTCAGGAGAACCTATGGCAAAGCTTTTTATTTGGGGGCACTCAGCCACTACTGTTCACAATAAAGTTATTGCATTTGGTGGATTTGGAGGCATGGGCAGACATGCAAGAAGAAATGATTTGTTACAACTTGATATGTTGTCATGCACATTGCAGACGATCAGTGTAGAGGATAGTCCATCTCCTCGTTTGGGTCACACATCATCTTTGGTTGGAGATTGCCTTTATGTCATTGGTGGCAGGACAGATCCTACGTACATTCTGAATGATGTATGGGTCTTTGATATCACTCAGGCAAAATGGACGTTATTAAAATGCACTGGTAGCTCTTTCTCTCCTAGGTGAAGTCTTTGCTACCTGCATTGTCTTTGTACCTTTTTGTCATTGCTGTTTCATTTCTTTGTGCTTCTTTTCATTTCCAATGCAATAAGTCACTGCATATCTGGTTCACAAATGTACCTCTTTCCTATTCTTAATGTTTATAGTTCTAATGCAGGCACCGTCATGCTGCAGCAGCAGTAGGCTCAAAGATTTATGTATTTGGTGGACTTGAGAATGACAGAATCTCATCTTCCTTGATTGTCCTCAACACAGATAGTCATCAGTGGAAAGAAATTCAGGCTGGTGGTGATCAGCCATGTGGTCGTCATTCACACTCAATGGTTTCTTATGGGTCGCATTTATATATGTTTGGGGGGTATGATGGGGAGAAAGCTTTTGGAGACTTATATTCTTTTAATACAGAAAATTGTTACTGGAAGAAAGAAAATATGGCGGGGAGAACTCCAAATGCAAGGTTTTCCCATGCTATGTTTGTGTATGAAAATTATATTGGAATTATTGGAGGTTGCCCTGTGAGTCAAAGCTATCAAGAGTTTGCATTACTTGATTTGCAACATCGTTTCTGGAGGCACGTGTCCCTAAATTGTACTGGCAAGGAATTATTTGTACGTTGCACAGCCAATGTGGTTGGTGATGATCTTGTCCTAGTTGGTGGTGGAGCATCCTGTTATGCATTTGGGACGAACTTTAGTGAGCCAGTGAAAATTAGGTTGCGTCCATTGATATCCTCAGAGGTTATTTTAGGGCATCCTCGAAACACAGAAAACCTTGTGACTCGTCCCATTGAAGAGTTGGAGAAGGAGAGCAGAGATCCTGAATGTCTGCTCAATGGCAATGCTCAAACTTTCAATGAAGCGTTTGGTTTTAATATTGATAGTGAGAAATCAAATTCCCATGAAAAAGAAGGTGCTTTGTATTGGGTTTTAAAAATTGAAAGAAATTATGCAAAACTAGGGAAAGACATTTTAAAGAGGTATGGGTGGCTGGATATGGTTAGAAAGGTTTCTTCACGTGGTAGTGGAACACATATTTTCTTTCCAGTGAATGGAAAATTTTGTGATATATTTGATGAAAAGAAGTCCTGGTGGGGAGATCAACTTGAACCGGAAAATGACTTTCATGTCTCTGAACTTGAAAGTTGGGAAGGAGGCCTGACAAAGAAATGCTCTTACCTAAAAGCTTTGAATATTTTAAGGAAATGTGGTGCAACTAAACTGGTGGATGAAGTTGTTGACATAAAAACTGCAGCCAAATCTCCATATAAAAAGATGAGCGAAGCATTATCCTCTTTGCTAAAGCATAATGGCTTATCTGAAGGACTCTTGGAGGAGCTGCCAACAAGGTGTGTGTGTGTGTGTGGGGTTTTCTTTTTCTTCTATCCTGGCATCTGCATTTTTGTTTCAATATTTTAAATTGGTGTACATATCACAGGTTTGATATGGCATCATAATTGTAGAAAAGGGTAAGAACATGTCACTTTTGTTTGAAAGGCTTTAATAGGTACCTGAGAATCATTCTGGCACTTCCATGAGTGGATATGATTTTATTGCATTGCTAGTTGCTAAAAGATAAATCGATTGTCTTTCTCAGGTGGGAGCGACTTGGGGATATTGTGGTGCTTCCAGTCACATCTTTTAAGGATCCTACATGGGACACTATTGGGGAGGAGCTGTGGCCTATGGTTGCCAAATCACTTGGTACTTCTCGTCTTGCTCGCCAAGTAAGTTTCGTTTAGAAAACCTTGGGTGGAACTTAATATCTGTAGTGTTCTCTCTCTCTCGTTGTGGGAAATAAAGCATCTTTAACAGTCTGTAATTTCATCTTCGGGAGTTGAAAATGAAGTCATTTAATAATTCTTTTACCAGAAAAACTTCAGCTGAGATCATTAGCTCAAAAACAATAATTATCTGCTGTTAGTTCTTTTATCTGCTTTCAATCAGTAAATGACATTTAAAACAAAATCTGAACTCCTTGAAATTTGAAATTAACTTATGTTTCCTGCTTGAATTTACATCTTTTTAGGGAAGAGTTGCTTCGACTGGTACAAGGGATAGTAACTTAGAGATACTAATGGGAGATAATGGTTGGGTTGACCATCGAGAAAATGGAATAACTTATTCTTTCGATGCCACTAAGTGCATGTTTTCCTGGGGAAATCTTTCTGAGAAGCTACGGATGGCCCATCTGGACTGTAAAGATGAGACCGTTGTGGATTTATTTGCCGGAATTGGATATTTTGTATTGCCATTTCTTGTCGGGTACATCACTTTATTCTTGACCGCTTTCTTTCTGTATTGTATCTTGTATTGTGATATCCCACATTGGTTGGGGAGGAGAACAAACCACCATTTATAAGGGTGCGGAAACCTTCTCCTAGCAGATGCGTTTTAAAGCCTTGAGGGGAAGCCTGAAAGGGAAAGCCCGAAAGGGAAAGCCTAAAGAGGACAATATCTGCTAGCGGCGCTTCTGAGCCGTTACATGTATTCTTCTCTTCAAATCGATGACGATATTTTCAATTGCTTGTTCTGATTCTTCTCAATTGTGCTAGTGTCAATTGCCTACCTCAGATTTGTTGAAGTTAGGGAAGTAACATCTCTTGAGAACTTATGTTTAGCAAAAAAGTGTGCCAATATTTTTTACATTGCTACGCACTCCATAGAATATTGACACATAAAACCCATCAAGAACTTTTTCCATGCTTGCTCATGAAACAAACTGTGACAAACACTTTTTCTACATTCTTATGCATTCTAGTGCCTATTTATCTAATCCAAGTAAGGAATTGAACTGAAATATGCCATTGATTGATCAGGGCTAAAGCAAAGCTGGTCTATGCTTGTGAGTGGAATCCTCACGCTATTGAGGCACTTAAGCGTAATTTACAAGCTAATTGCGTGAGCAATCGTTGTATTGTTCTTGAAGGAGATAACCGGGAGACAGCACCCAAGGTGATCATTCCAGATCTCTAGAAACTACTACCCAAGTTCAAGATTTCGTTACTGTTAAGACTCATATTAATTAGACTTAGATGTCATTTGTTTAAACAGTATAATGGACTTTATCCCATGCATCCATCCTTGTGGGGTGAGAGCTAGTAACGGATTTGTAAGATCTGATGTACTGTTCAGGAAGGAAATTTACTTCTGACCCGTTTTGTTTTGTTTTGTTTTTAATATTTTCAGGGAGTAGCGGATCGGGTTTGTCTCGGTCTCCTTCCAACTAGTGAGGGTAGCTGGGTGACGGCTGTAAGAGCATTGAGGTGATATGTTGTGACTTGGATTCAGATTCCATCTTAGGGACTCCCTATACACCTCATTTTCATTTGTGAGCCCAAAACATTGAATGAAAATTTGTGGCCTCAACGACCTAAATATTTCAATTTATTAGTTGATTATCTTATCTTGAAATGGCTCAAAATTCGAAAAGCCACGAGTGTTTATATTTTTCTTACCTACTTCAATAATCGCATTCAATGCTGAAACCGAATGTGCAGAATTGAAGGCGGCACCCTACATGTGCATGGTAATGTGAAGGACTCAGAAGAAGAACTGTGGACTCAACACCTCCTGCACTCAATAACTGAAATTGCTAAATCTGAAGGTTTCTTATTACTTTCTTCCCTTTTTCCCAAGTTGAGATATGTACAAATTTAAATAACATCTGATCTGATACTGAACTTGGATGGTTTTCTATTTCAGGTCATTGTTGGGATGTCTCGGTAGAACACACCGAAAGAGTAAAATGGTATGCCCCACACATTCGCCATCTTGTTGTGGATGTTCGATGCAAAAGGATTCAACAGAACAGCTGAGGAGTCTACTTCCTGCATGAATCTAGATGAGTTATGGTGGTCGTAATGGTATGGTCAAAACCCCGACGCCGCATAGGTCGTGATCGCCTTGATATGATTTTGGAAGGATTAAGATCAAGAACAACGAGTTCATGTGAGCTGACAACTGTTCTCTTCCGCTCAATGTTGGAGTTTTGGAATCGGTACCATTTTAATAACAATGTCTTATTAAAAATAGGATAGATTGTAGAATTATTCATAAACCGATGCCTTCTATTGAACATACTCTTCAATAGAAATAGGATTATTGTTTTATGTTTTCTATTGAACATACTCTTCAGAATGCATCAAATAGTTGATCGGATAAGGCAGGTCTTGTTCTTTAAATCGCTTCAAATGCTCATTTCCAAACAATAGTTTAACAAGCAAACAGAACTGGAAAACATCAAGAACAAAAATCATTAGCTTGCTCTTGCAAGATCCTTATTAGGTAACAGCTGAAAGATAAAAAGAGAACAGGCTACATATACACAAAAGTTACCTCTACTTCTCATTGAAGTACTACACTCAAGATAAGGCAGCAAATAGAAAAGGAATGAATGATGAGTTTTTGACAACGTCCGAATTTAATAAGTCCTTGCCAATCAGTCCAATCCACCAGGTCAGGACACGAGTCTGTTGAGCGACTCGTTCGCATTATAATACCCACTGCTTTGAAGTCTGAATTGGCTTCTATGAAGTTAAAAGAGTTTTCCTGGTTGTGTTGTTCCACTTCTCATCATTGCGCAGAATTCCTGGTAATTGATTCTACCATCCTATAGATGCAAAGAAGAGTGAGTTGAAAATCATTTTTTGGCATTTGTTTTTAGAGTAAGAGGGAACTTTAAAAACTTACATTATCTGTGTCCACCTCAGAGATAATTTCCTTGATGCTGACTTCATCACCCATGCCATAATCCTTCATAGCATTCTCCAGTTCATCTTTTGTTATGTATCTGTTATCAGAACAGGAGCAAAGCTTGGCAATATGAAGGCATATATATATATATATTGCGACCAAGTTCTTCAACATTATATATGTATCTAGAGGATCTGGAAAGTTTCGTACTTACCCACTACTATCCATGTCAAAAAACTGAAATGCTTTGTATAAGTGTTCATCTCTTTCCAGTCTGTGCCTATGCATGGTTGCAGAGATGAACTCAATATAGTCAATCGATCCATTTCCATCAACATCAGCCTGAAAAGTTGGAAATTTGCTATGAGAGAGAATTCTTAAGAAGCAGCTAATTAGTAGCATTGGAGGTAAGTATTTAGTTACAGCTTCCATTAGTTGCTTCACTTCAGCCTCTGAAAGCCGTGAACCAAGCCGAGCTAAACCTGTCTTCAACTCATCATAGGTGATATTGCCACTATTGTCAGTATCTATGTTTGCAAACATAGCTTTAAGGCCTTTAATTTCTTCTTCAGATAAGTTTTCCGCAATGACCTAAGATGCATATAGAGATCTCACAGGTCAATATGCAAGCCACTAACATCACCATCATCAAATGTGCTTAGGGAATGGTGTCCTTAGAGCCCCATAGAGACAGGCAACACATACATCAAATATATTATGTTTTCAATATGCACAAAACAAACCGGAGTCGTGGTTGCAGTTTAATAATTACCTTCAAAGCAAGCTTCTTGAGCTTATTCATTGCCCTGAATTGCTTCATTCTAGACAGAACGGCGCTGTCTATTGGCTTGTCTGAAGCGTCTCCCCCTTCTCTAATCCATGGATGTTCTAGATGAAGAACTTAATCTTTAGGCCATATAACAAATACAAACCTAATATCTAACAAAAACATAATTTCTGGCATCAGCGTTGAAGAAAACCAAGATACCTAGAACCTGTGCAGGAGTTATTCTCTTCCTCGGATCCTGTGTCAGCATTTTTCTCACAAGATCTTTAGCGCTTTCGGATATTGTTGGCCAAGGTGCACTACCAAAATCAATATCTCCTTGCAGTATGGTATCAAATATTCCCTTCTCATTTTCTGCCCAAAATGGAGGTACACCACTGAGAAGGATGTACAAAATAACTCCTGCACTCCAAACATCAGTTTCCTTCCCATAATTTCGCCTCAACACTTCAGGAGCAACATAGTAAGCACTGCCAACTATGTCACGGTACACCTTACCTGAGATTACATATAAAAACTCTCATATCACAAGGAGCCCAGTTGAGCCCTGTTGGCATCACAATAATTTCAATCCAAATATGAAAAAACGTTTGTGTTTCAGTTCAGAAACTCAATCAATCCATGAGCAAAAAAGAAAACAAAAAGACGAACCTTGTTCAATGAAAACAGAGAGTCCAAAATCAGTGGCCTTCAACATTGCTCCCTCTTTCTTGCTGGACAACAGGAAATTCTCAGGCTTCAGATCACGGTGCATAACCCCCATAAAATGGCATATTTGAACAACATTTACAATGGCACGACAAATCTCAGCAGCAGCTTTTTCAGAGTACTGACCCTGCGCAATAATCCTATCAAAAAGCTCCCCACCAGCACAAAGTTCCATCACCAGATGAACAGAATATCCATCCTCATAAGCACCTTTGAACTCAACGATGTTTGGCTGCCCAGAAAGATGCTGCAGAATCAGAATCTCCCTCTTCATATCATCCTTGTCATTCTTACTAATAAGTTTCCGTTTAAGGATAGATTTGCAGGCGTATGTTTGGCCAGTGGAAATCTCAGTACATAAATAGGTAATACCAAACTGCCCTCTACCCAATTCTTTCCCAAGAGTATAGTGTTTTCTAATATCATCATAGGGTCTACCCAGAATTGTTTCTGGGTGATTTTGCACGGTCCTGGGTTTGGGGAAAGCTGAAGCTGACGGCGGATGCGCCGCCGTTGGTGGTGGTGGTGGTGGTGGTGGTTGAGGCTGATTTCGGTTAGCTGGGATTTGGGTTTGAGGGGCTGATACCTTCTCAGCCGGGACAGTGAAGTGAGGTTGGTAAGATTGATAAGGACCTCTGGTTGCAATCCCAGTAGCGGAATCAGAGGCATTAACTCCAGATATTGGAGGCTTTTGCGTGCTGCCACAGCAACCCATTATGTAATCGGAGAGTGTCAACGTGGAGAGGGATGTGTATAGTAAAAATATGGAAGCCCCACTTAAGAATTGAATTTCTGGGAATGTTGAAGAACAAATCTGACGGCCCAGCCTGTATCCGGAAAATGGAGATGAAAGAGAATAATGGAATTCAGAGGTTTGGAGAGAAGATGACACCCAAAAAGTAACCTAGAAATTGGGTTTTTGTGAGGCAAATGAAGGATGAAATTCAAGTCTCTGCAATGGAAACCCACAGATTGGGCAAGAAAATGTTCGGTAATAACGCCAACCATTCGTCTCCATGTTCGTCCATTGACTTCAAAAAACAATAGTGTAGTCAACTCAACAACGCGGTACTTGTTCTTCACAGTTCCAACCTGCATATCATTTAATTTCTTTTTAATTGAGTTGATTTTTAACACACAATTTTCAATCTTCATATTATTTAAATATTTCATTTCACTATTTTTCTTTTATCTTTCATTATCTGATTTGACCGATAAATACAGTCACACTCGAACAACCCCAATTAATTAATTCTTTTATATTTTTCTCAAATTTAGAAAATTCTTAATGGTACACCACGTCAAAATAATAATATTAATTAATAATAAATAAACAAATAAGACTGATTCAATTTCTTTTCAATACCCTTCTCGATCTCATTTTATATTTTTGTTATTATATTAATTATTTCATGTTGTAAGGATATACGACCGTTCATCAAAATAAGATTTATGTCTATCAAAATTAAAATACTCCAAAATTTATTATAAGAAAATTGACAACTAATTCCTTGGTTCTAATAGTTTTAACAAATATGGATATAATTTTAAAGAACGATCGTATACCAATAAAATATAATAATAAAATATAATAATAAAATAACGAAGGATTAACTAAAAAATGGTCTGAAATGGACATGTGAGACACTGTGACCCATAGACGTATGGCCACATATCACACATTTTGGACAAACATTGTTAAAATAAATAAATAAAATTAGTGTGGGAGTGTGAAAAAGAATCTGTATTTCTAATGAATTTCTGAAATGGGACAGAGGTATCTTCTAGATTAGGTTAATATAATCCAAAATCAGTACGTGTGAGGTGTGGAAAGCCGTGTGGATGGCATGACTTAGGATCCGAAAATCCCACTGCCGTGGTTGCCGCCGCTAATTATCTTTCTTTAAAGTTACAAAACATTAAATTAAATAATACATATTTATTACTTCAGTTATCCTCTTTTATTTTTTATTTCTAAAATCCAATTTACTTTAGTTACTGTTTTTTAGTTTTGTCACTTTCTAAATGGAATGGAACCCTTTGATTATGATTTGAATGATTGGGTATGAGATTTTCTTTTTCTTTTATATATAAATATAAAATTGGGCTGGGGTCCAATTCATCACAAATATCCGCGTTTCTGGGTCCATGGATCCAGGCATTGGCGCGTTTTTAAGTGGACTGCAACTAGCCAAGGCCCAATTTTCATTAGCGTCACATTTGCTAGCTCAAAATCAGTGGCTGCAAAATGCGAGGTTGCCACATGGGCGCTGTCAGCTTCTTAGGAAAAGGAATGGCATTGGCAGTCCATCGAGGCACCAACACACTGCACGCCCCCTTTGCTTAATACTTAATTCAATGTCTTTGTCCTTGTCTTCCGCCCGCATATGGCCTCGCCCACAATTTTTGTTTACAACTTAAAGAGTCCCATGTAGTTTCATGATCTAAAATCTGAATTTTGTCAGAGATTTTATTAAAAAAATAAAATTATATGAGTGTTGTTTTCCTCTGCTTTTCATTTCATTTTCTTCCCCTATTCAAAACGCTCCTTCTTTCTCTCCACTTTAATGGGTCTTCCCACTCTCTCTCTACTGTTTCATTGCTTTCCTTTCCATCTTCTTTCTTAAACTTAATAATAATAATAAGAATCAAACTGTAAAAATAAATGTCCCAAGGGAAAAAAAATTGGGAGACTGATTATCAACAGAGTTGAAAGAGATGGGTTGGTTTTCATATTCCATTCCGGTCACCGGACGGGCAGTACTTCAAAATCAGAGAATATGTTCTTTAGCTATGCTCGGGAATCTGGGCTGCCACCGCGTTTACCCGATTAATCCGGGTCAGCTACAACCCAAGGGAAAAAACCGCCCCACTTTCATAATATTTGATTAATTCTTGGTTGATCTTCATCTCCTAGTCCTTACAGTGATTTTTAATTTTAAATTCTGAAATTTTTAGCCATCGAACCCGGTCTGCCTCCATACCGCATCCCGGACACGTCTCATGTCCCGGCCCTTCAGGGTCCGGCCGACACCGACGAAAACGGAAGTGGCGTTCATCTTTCGGCTTCTGGCCAAGTACTCATGCGGCGGAACGATCTCCGAGTCCCGGTCATCCAACGTCTCGTCCAACTCGTGTAACGAGTCCGCCGAGTCTACACGGAGAATCTTGCTCCAATCCGGCACGTTCACGGGCGCTGACGTAGCCATCTGCCGACCTCGTGGAGACGCCTGGCTGTCGTTACCCCGAAACTGGTGCACGATTCTCCCCGATGTCATCCTCCCTGGATCTTCAAATGCCAACGACAGCCCGCCTACGTGTCGCTCACGTGTATCCCGAGGAACCCCTTTCCCTTTCCTCACCGAAATCCCTCCATGACGATTACTATTAGTCCCGTCACCGCTGCCACCGGCAAGAGCCGACGAATTCCCTTCGCCGAAATCCTCTTCCCGGTCCGGCTCCACGGTATCATCCATCGGCCACACATCCTCTTCACCCAAATCGGACGAGTCAGTCCCGGTGGAATCGTGGCTATGACTATAGCCATAGGTACCGAGAAATCGCTCGCTCCGACTTGTCGTCAACTTCCGGCCTTTAGCCATTATTGAAATGAATTTCCCCGGAAGGGAAACTATACATCAAACAGTGAATATACTACACTAATACCTCCCCCTCTCACACTAAAAATACAAATGGGCCGAAAATAAAAATAATTATAAGACCATAGGGGACGTAGTTGGGAGGGTGGGTGCGCTGTATATATAATATTACAAACTTCCATTCCTTGCATTTCATTTGAATTTGGGTTCATTTCGTCCGCATTTCTGTCAAATCGAAGCTTCAATCAATTGCATGGTAAGAAATAAGGATAGAAGACGACAAGACAGCCACAAAAGCTATTATTAATGCATACATAAATACAAAACAATAAGCGAAATATTTCCCAATCCCAAGTTTTAATTATTAATTAACTCTGAAATTAAATAGACTGGTCCTAAGTGTCACGCTCTGTTCAAGGCGCGTGCTGTCATTCTCCTTGCTTTTATGTCGAAAAGTGGCAACTGAATTCTTCCATATTTAGGAATTTGGTCATGATTAATTTCTTTTAATTATTACTAATTAATTTGCTAAATTTATGGCCTACATTGCAGATTGACTCTCCACCGTCTGATATGTAGTCAAACTCCAATTACCTCAGTTTATAATAATAATTAAAAAAAAAAATCACATTTACGCCGGTCGTGCAGGAAATAAACACACGCCTAGTTCGACTGATTTGGAGCCTGCGGTCCACGTGTCCTGGAAGCCAGACGTCTCAGCAAAGACCGCGTGTATGAATGAATGGATACAAATAATTGTGGGACCGGATTACCCAATCATACGTGTCGATGGATGAATGGATGTATTGAGAATAACATTGGTTTATACATTAATTTGGTGGTTGAAACGTAAATCAACTCAAATTAGTGAGTTTAAAAATATAATTTATATAATGAATTAATTATTAAGGAATAACAAGGGTGGTGTTCGCGTTCGTGATGCTGCGCACATTGGACGGCCCAGAGAGGGACAATGGGACCCACCCAAAATGTGGGGGGGGTACTGTGATGACCAAAACTTGCCCTTTATTGAAGCATTTACAGAAAGAAACGCCCGTATTCACCCATTTACTTTCCAGTTAAACCGTATTCACTCTCGGGTTAATTAATTTTTGCTGAAAAAGCTTACCGTCGTGGCGTGGTAATTATTTATATAAGTTGAAACCATATTTTTTTTATAAGTAGGAAGAAAATGTTTAATGTTGATATATTACGATAAGGGAATGGCAATATCTGACCCAAGCTGCGTGTTTTGATTGGACATACTGGGGTTGGGTCCCAGAAGCAAGTGTTTGAGTAATGGCAGATCAATGGACCCACACAAAAATATATATTAATAAAAAAATTGTGGGGAAGAATCCTATGCGGTGCTGCCGTATTTTAATCCTGCGGACAACTCTCCCTATCTCAGGGAGATATGCTATGCAATTGCAATATATCAGCTTTAATCATGTACTTATTGGGGCCATCCATCCCCTTTAATATATATGTATTTCCTATTCTCTCATTTCTCTTCAATTACGATGTGGGATGAATCTTAGTTGAATCATAGTTACAATCTTGATTGCCCCAAGAACAAGTTATATATAGGTTTTAGTTAGGAACCATTATGCCAAAAATAGGGCTTAAAAAGCAAGCATATGAAACCCACTGGATCAACAAAGCAGCGGCAGGAAATGAAGTGGAAAAGGCTAAGACAAAACCAAGCCATGTGAGTGTCAATTTGTCAAATGTTAAGAAAAATGGGAAAAGATTACAAGAATCTGATATGTGCTGCTTGTCGGGGAGTTCGTACCAGCAGCCAAAAATCATAGTTGCAAAAGAAGAAGAAGAGGAAAGACTGTGCTGCTCCATTTTTGGGTTTGGTACTTTTACAATCCATATCCATACCCATTTAATTAAAATGTAAATGCGCATCGGAAATTGAATCTGATTTTAGGGTTCTAAAGTAATGGGGTTTTAATTTGTTTAATCCCCTATTCTAATCCACTTGATTACAAGTTGAATCATACGGGGTTATTTAAATTATCATTGTTGTTATATACTTGGCTTTTGTGGGTTCAAGCTGTTCCTGAAGATTCTATCCTCTTTGGCTTTCTTCCATTAAAGGAATTGGAGAGCCAGTTTGCAGATATTGCCTGTCCTGTAAAAGCTCTCGATAACTCAAAACAACACAACTTTTTCCTTATGCATATCACTTAACTTTTTTACACCAATTCTTTCTTTCCAATGTATAGGCCTTAAAAGATGTCCAAAGAAATGATGACATTATTATTATTTAAATATATGATATATAATTTTAATTAAATTATACGCAACTATAAAAAATTAAGACTTGAATGAGTTCAATTATTTTATTGAGGAGTTTTATAATTGGAATTCTAAAAAAAACTCAAAATATTTCATAACACGTAAGGTTACTTAGAAATGTTAATATTTTTATAAAATGAGAGAATATTCCCCTAATTATTGAGCATGATAAAAAAAATAAATAAAAGAAAGTAATTGAGAATCTTTCCCTTTGGGAAATTGAAAGGGTATCCAATCGTTTCGACAGGCAATTGGACATATCTCCTCGTCCCCATCAACTACTCTCGACTTCGACTCCCCATATTTACACCTTTTCTTTCGGTGCATCATAATTATGATTTACATTATTAATTTCTCTTCAAAACATTAGATTTAAATTCAAAGATTAGTTTGTGGGTTATTGTTATTACTAATAAAATGTGATGAAATTATGATAAGCTAGCACATCTATAATTTAATGTAACAAGAATTTATAGGTATAAAATGTTTTTAGTATTTATTTTATTTTATAAATTTGTGAAATTTTTCTTTAATTCCTATGGTAACCACAACTTTCTTTTTTCAGAATGCGGTAATCACGGCTCATTGACTTTTTGGAATTTTTGGTTTCAAATTCTTTAAAAATATTCTAAATAAAACAAAAAATTAGTTGACATTTCAAAAAACATGTAATTGACTTTTTAATTTTTGTGTTGCTTAATTTTGAGTGTATTTTTTGTATTTAATTATACAATGAAATAGGTTAAACTACAATCGTGCTAAAATTATTCAAATTCCCAAGTTATAGTGGGAATATCGTCCTTAGGAGAGCACTTAATATTTGTCTCCAATAACTTAATTTAATGATGCATTAACTTTTTTCTTAATGTCTACGGTACATGATTTGTCGTTCCTCCTAAATATAATATCTACTATCCCCTTTGCATTTCAATGGTTATTTCATTTTAATAACATTAAGGTTTGTTTCATCTTTAACTATTTTAAATAATATCAATTGGTTCATCTTTAATGTTTTCTCCTATACTATGATATTGCGTACCTAAGAATCAATTAATTCGTGAGCAAATTTGAACTTATTTTTTTGAAAGTACAAAAATATTTGAATATATGCGCAATTTGGTACTTTGGTCCAATATGAGCTAATTTTCAACCCCGCCTTCTTTGATAAACATATAAAATACCGTGTATGAATGCTTTTGAGGAAATAAAGGGGCTTGCTTTAAATGTGTTTTTGAGAGGTCATTTTCATTAGACATTTTGAATGAGTATGTTTCGTAGATCTAATTAATTTAATTAATTTAGTGATGCTTTGATCCAATCTTAATTTAGTAGGTCAAGTGCTACTCCCACTTTGAATGACTAATATTGTCAAAATCATTGTGCGTTTGAAGACAGTTTTTAATTTTAATTTTAATTTGTCTTAATTAATTAGTCTTTGATTTTATTCTTAATTTAATGTGTCACTATGATTATATGAATGTTTGGTGCACACTGTCTAACCGTGCCTTATCAACAATGGAATGTAAAAATTGAAGTTGTGTGTGTATTTTGTTCGAGTCCTCTAGTCTTATAGAAAAGGAGTCAGAGAGACAGGACTCAAAGCTCAAGTCGTGCCGGCTCCAGACTCCTTAGTGTACTATTATGTCCCACGTTGATTAGGGAGGAGAACAAACCACCATTTATAAGGGTGTGGAAACCTTCCCCTAGCAGACGCGTCTTAAAAGCAGAAGAATCTCGAAATCGAAAGCCAAAAAGACAATATCTGCTATGGGTGGATTTGGGGCTTTATTCTATTTTTTCTAAATAAAATTGATGTAATTCGAAAGTGGATAAACGATTGGATTATTCCGAAACAGTTCTTAATCTACGGCTTCTTCAAAACAAACATTCAGGTCATTTGTGTTTAAGAACATGACGTAATTGAGATTTTTGGGTTTGAATCCTGGCGTCCAAAGTGTTGTTCTTGAAGCAATTTTTCTGAATCCCACGCGGCCATTCAATGCATCCATGTGTCCCTCTTTTGATATGTGGGTTTTGCGAGTTCCTTTGAGTCGCTGTGTCGGAGCCCTTCAACTCCCCACCTTCACTCCACACTCTTCCATTCCCAAACCTTCCATTAGCCTTCTTTTTCGACGAATCCTCCATTGGGTTCTCAACATTCTCTGTTTTTCTTTCAGGAATGCACTCCTTTTCAACTGGGTTATCATTAATCTCTTCGCATTCCTCCTCCAACTTGGTCGCTTCCTTCAAATCCTCCAGCAGAGACAGAACAAGACTCTGTTTCTGCGGCTCGTACAAGAACCCCTCGATTTCTTTAATGTCCACCGACTTAGCAGCTTCATGGATCAACTCACCTCTCTTCATCTCCATCTCGTCCAGCTTCTCGCTCCTCGACATCAGAAAATTTTCAAGGTCTGTGATGAGTTTGTTCATTTGAACGTACTTGTCTTCCAGAGCTACTTTTGCGTCAATCAGCTTCATTTGAATTCTTTCTTCTCGCCAAACCTCCGCCATTTGCAACATGTTTCTCTCTTCCTCTACTTCTTCACACAGTTTCATTGATTCCATTTTCAAAGCTTCCACCTTTGCCTTGTCTCCCACAATCTGCTTCGCCATCTCTGCACAGACCTCCTCTAATAACTCTCTGTTTCTCTTCTCTTTCTCGTATTCTTGCTTGTATTTCTTCGCGTTTTCTTTCGCTTCTCCCAGTTCCTTTTCCAAATTAGCATTCAGAACTTCGGTTCTGTGATTGGTTTCTTTTTCTTGGCATAATTCGTCAACCTTTACGTGCCTTCGATTCTTCCACATTGCTCTGTTTTCTTCGAGCTTCCCTTTTAAATACTCGATTTTCTTCTTCGATTTTCGCTTCTGGGATTCAAGCTTGCAGATGCGTGTTTGGGCCACCGCCAGCTCTTGTTTAACATCAGAAGCGGCCGAGGCCTTTGTAAACGGTTGCTCTCCTCCGCCACGATGGCTGCGAAATCTACCCAACTCCGCCGTCTCAGCTGCCTCTGGTGCTTCAGGGTTCCAATATTCTGCTGCTGCTGCCTGTAAGAAGATTGGTTTGTTTTTTTAGATCAATTGTTTTGCTCTTCTCATTATCTTTTTTTGTTCATTGGAATGAAATTTTAGTTTTTTTAATGCGTGGAATGGAATATTTTTAATAATTTATTATACAGCCAGACCTTGGTCAAATTTCAAAGTCATTGTAATGATTAAAAAAAAAAACAAAATTAAGAACTTTCCCAAATAAGATCAATATACATACAATACTCATTTCATTAAAATGTAAATAAAACAAAAACAAAATCTGAATTAAAAAATTAAGTACCAAATAATCCTATCCTACTCTGTTTTCCACAGGTCTCCCATCTTCTTTTTCTGTTCTTCCAAAGTTCTTCATGTCTCTTCCCATTTTCTTACTTTTAATTTTGATTTCTTTAAATAATGGCGAGCTAATGATTTCATCAAGTAATTCATATGGGTTAGGTACATTTCCTCTGTCTATCTAAATCTAAAGTTGTAAAGGAGGGTAATGATTAAATCAAATAATGGTAAAGTATTATAGAGCGATCTTTATTTTTGTTTAGATTGGCGTGGTTTTAGCAGCGAATCATGTCAAAAAGATTGGGTAATAAAGATTGATTGAAACAGAAATGGAAGTGGGAAAGGTACCTTAATCTTGATTGCTTTCTTCGAGGAATCCAAACAGCCACGCCTCTGTAATCTCTGCTCTGCTTCCACTCCTCCATCGTCTCTGCTCCGATCACGACGCCGATGCCTTATTTCTCCCTAATAATTTTCAGAAGGTATATTCATAAACAAACCCTTTTCGTTAATCAATAATTCCTCAAACTTTCCCACCAATCGGAAATTAAAAATCGAATTTTTCCCTTCTGGGTTCGTAATTATTGGTATTGATCACAAAGATCGCAACATTTCCAGTTCGTTTTCTTTCACTTCTCCATTTACAACAGAACCGAATCTAGAAGTTACCTGAGACACTCTTCGGCCGCCACCGTTGCCGCTTGAAATTTCCTTATAATGGAGATGCCAAAGGCCGGCGGCGAGCTTTCTCGCCTGAAATTGAACTCGGCTACGGCTTCGAGATCCATGCCGATCGTCCAACTTCCACCGCAACAGAGGAGTCATCGGAACCCCGAAGTTAAAACGGCGAGCTCCGGGACTGCGCAGAAACCTCGGCGTCCGGCGACGAGGCCGTGCCGGGGAGTTCTCGGTCGGAGTTAGATCCATTGTATAAAGGAAATTTTGATGATCATCAGAAAGCTCCAATGCACAAAGTTTTTATTATCGCATAAACAGACGGAGACAGAGAAACAAAAGAGTTGGAGGGGATGGAAATGCTGTCGACAGGACAAATATCATTTCCAAAGTATTTATAATTTTTCAATCTTAATATTCATTTAATTAATTAAAAATCATATACATTAAGCGGTGGTGACATCCATTTTTGATAATTTAATGATAAATTATATTTTAAGTAAATGCACTTAGTACCCTCATTTTATATGAATTTGACATTAATATTTGGGCTGTCAGTGGAAATTAAAAGAATTAGTTATAAATTAAAGAACAATTTTCTTAAATATTCCCCTTTCCCTTTTCAATGAATCGTATGTGGTCTCCACCATTTTTAATGTATTAAACAGTTTAATGATAGCAAAAGATAAAACCACCACATATATTTGTCTATAACAATTTTCAATTCTATCCATAACTTTTTCAATCTTTTGTTTTAACTATACTTTTTTTTTTTATATATATAACTTAATTTAATCTATAATGGTTTATTATATAGTTTTGTAAGTAAATATAAATTGCGTCTCTTCTAATATATAAAAAAACATAATACATTTGAATCATTTTATATTTCTTTTGTGGATTCTTTTATTCAATATGAATAAATTATATTAATAAAAACAAAACAATCACTAGTGATGCGATTATTAAATTAATGATATTATAAATTTAAATAAATACTTCAAAAGGTATTATTGTTTTTATTACCAATATAATATATGACTTTGACTTTTGTTATTGTGCATTAAATTTTAGTTGGAAATTGTGGAAAATGGAGAGAAGAAGAGCATTTTAATAATAAATAAAAGCTTGCTGTAGTAAGGAAGAGATCCAAACGAACGATGTATTTTAGAACCTGTTTAGTGTTACGATCATACTTAGGATCATCTTCATGCCGTAAGAAACCTACCTCCATTACTATGATTTGCTTATTATAGACGAATTGGAGTAGAGATTCTTGATCCACCTGTATGTGTTTGGTCAGATGGAGAAGAGTTGGAATTGAAAGAAAATTTGTATTACATAAAATGTATGAATATAACAGCTCAAGTTTACTGTTAGTAGATATTGTCCACTTCGACCCGTTACGTATCATTGTGAATCTCACGATTTTAAAACGCATTGACGTAGAATCTTTGTCTTTTCACCTTTTTCACTTGAAAAGGACATGTTTGGGAAACTCAATTTTGACTTGGGAAGGAAAACTAATTTTTATTATCTATGATGGGTTGACTTAGATTTGATTACATGAATTTACTTAATCTCGTGTAACTTTGAGGAAAAAACTGCAACAACAAATTGAAAGGCTACAAAACAACACCAGCCAAGAACATCCCTATAAATTTTCTTTCATATAACAAAGCCCATGAACTAAATTAAAGCTCTTAGGAAGAAACGAAGTGGTTTCCCCATTGATTTGAAGATCGGTGTACCTGTGTTGGGAAATTATGGTAAGAGAGGAGGTAGATTGGCGAAGTTGGTTGCTTTTCTGCCAAACAAAGACTTGCAGTTTCTGATCTGACAGATTATTTGCTTGTAAACACTAATCTTGACATTGCAAATACTCTTCTTCAGCTTCTTCAATCTTCTTCCAAATCTAACTCTTAGTCTTCGGATTCTAATTCTCAGATACGAAGCTTTGCCCATGGAATCTGCTCGTTCCAACACTCTGTTGATTATAAACTGTGCTCTTCGATGAATTATCTCATCTGGGTCTTCTTTATCAACCTTGGAGTAACCATTAGACCTCTTAACAAGAACAAAACTCATCTCTCAATACCCCTCTGAACCTAGAAGATTACAGAGAGATACCTGGGTGAAGAAGTAGGCAGTGAAGAGTTTCAATGCAGATATGCCATTTTATGAGTGAAGCTGTGTGTGGAATTTGGGTGTGGGGTCAACGAAGAAGGTCATGTATGAGGCAACGGTGAAGCAAGCAAGCTAGCACGGCATGTGCTTTAAATTATGGAAGACAGACTAAGCAGGACCTGAGCTGGCCTTCAGATCGCGCCTATGATTCTGCTAAATCTTAAACCACAAAAAATGACTGTTAAATTTTCATTTGATCATGTTTTCCTTTGTAGAATCAAAAAAGTAAAACCGTTTTTACTCTGTTTTTGTCAGTTACACCAACACCATCTTACCATAAACGATGCAATGGAATATTTTTATGAATTTCTTAGAATGGACTATCAGATGGAACTCAAAAGTCAAAGTTTGCAGCATGGAACCATCCAATTGCAATATAAAACAGACCAAATTTCCACCGACATTGAAAAAAAAGAATGAGAAGTCACAATAATCAATAATAATCGTTTAATAAAAAAAGAAAAAGGAAATGAAGGTTAAACATATGGATGAGACTAGATGTCGCTGGATTTAGACTGTCCATTCATAGGTATGACTTAAAGAGTCAACAACTAGCTTATCACTTGAAGAATCCAATGCAGCAGACAGGACAAGCTTCCACCGGCAGGAACCCTGTCTGAAAGAGAGCTCAAGCAATCCAACCAAGTAACAATGGAAAAAACAGATGAAAAGAAGACTCCAAAATTACTTTTCCTATCAATGGTGGAAAGCTGATCCTCACAATCTTGTGAGAGGTAGTGGGGTTCACTTTCTTCTTCACCTTTTTTTAAAACCCAAAGAGTGTTGAGACCAACTTACATCCATTTCGATCACTCTCAACTAACAATCATCTAATTCTATAACATTTAGTTACCAACCAAATTCAGACAGGTGATGTTGAGGATGGTTGAAAGAGGAATCCTCCATCGACTAATTAAGAGGTTAACCATAAGTTTATAAGTACGGAATACATCGTCCGTTTGCCTTGCCAACCCGAAAAAAACTCCAAATACAGACCTAGACTCCCATGGTTCTGACCCAGTTGATCACTTGGCCAATTTAAGGTGGTTTACACGGTTCATTTTGAGGAGGGCCTGTACAGCTCTTCACCTATTGACAGACTTAAAATATCAGCAACTTAGGAAGATCCAACATGCATAATAATGGGAAGACTGACACCTTCGGAACAGCACCACTCCCTTAAAGCTAGCTAACTTTCATATAGAATTTGACAACTTTGGGCCACAATTGCAAATACATGTGAAGTCATCTGTTCCTTATACAATTTAAACAGTAAGAAGTTTGGGTGTCATTGGTTGGGTCTCTGGTATAAGGCTCTCTAAGCCCTAGCATCGGGAACTTTTTTAATCTTAAATTAAACTCTTACTTAATGGGCCGAGCCCAATGGGCTCTAGCATTGTCGATATGGATCAATTGCATTTGTATCGAATTGGCCCAATGGGCCGAGCCCAAAATAAAGTTCTTCCATTTTTTGTGGTAAATTGTAAATAACGATAAAATACTCGATTTACCAAGTGGGAAGTGGATGATTGGTTGGTGGAATACACTCGCGCCGTTATTCGCACCAAATCCGTCACCCTCTCCGTGAAAGAGCGGGGCGGGAAATAGCTGTTCTGTTTTCTTTTGCCGTCTCTCTTCCAAACTTTCTCCGACTCTGCGGATCTCCTTCTCTGTCGGATTTTGCCGGGAATCTTCTCTCTCCAACCTCCGCTCGCTCTTTCCGGCGTCCAAATATTTGTTGTTCTGCGCCTTCGATTTTCATTTCACGTTTCTCTTTATCGGTAATCAACTTTCTGAGATTCGATGGCTCAAGCAGTTGAAGAATGGTACAAGCAAATGCCTATCATCACCCGCTCCTATCTCACAGCCGCTATAGTAACCACAATCGGCTGTTCCCTCGATGTGCGTACCTTGTTGCCCCTTCTCCATTTGTAGCTCTACATTTCTGCCTCTCGTGGTCATTTAGGCTTAAATGTTTGTTTTTCTCTGGGCATTATGTCTTACATTATGGTTTAAAGCCGGTGTTTTAAGAATGCCTTGGCTTTTTGTTTATTTATTTATTTATTTTATCTCAGTTTCGTTTTTGATTTGTTATGGAAATCATTAATGGTTTGTTTCGTCCTCCCGGAAGATCATCGATATCGATTACCATGACATGGGGGATTTTGATTATTATTTTTGTCCTTGGGCTTTGATGTTGGTTTCCCATGCCGATTATCGCTGATTTCATTGACCTTTGGGAATTGATGTGTAAATTTATTTCAGTTTTGGTGTCAGTTTTTGCTGGTATTTGGTGGTACAATATGGGGGCACCCGGTTCTATTGTTTCAGCTATTGAATTAGCATGAACTTTGAAAATGTGGCTGATCCTTATAATCTTGTTGGCCTTTTCTTAATTTCAGAGTCTAATAGATGAATATCACTTTACCTTACCATTTGGTTTGTTTAATAATTTTTCATGCATTTGATTTCATACAGATTATCTATCCGCATCATCTTTACTTGAATCCTATCCTCGTTGCTAAGAAGTATCAGTTCTGGCGCCTCATTACCAACTTCCTGTTCTTCCGCAAAATGGGTATTTATATAGTACTTTTTCATGTACATATAATTTGTAACTGTAGAAAAATCCCGTTGCTTGGTTTTATGTGAAGATTTCCTAATATTTTCCATCTGTTGGTATTTTCTGATTGTAGTCATTGGTCACCCACTTTTGGAATAACTGTTCATGTTTGTGGACGTGCAATGCACATGAGTGCCTTTAGTTGTCCTGTTCTTGTTTCTGGAGGGTTTTAGCTTTTATGAAGTTTTATTCCATATGCATACGATATGTAACTGGCAAGCTGAAGCGTGCTGACCCGCATTGTACGAGTTTATTGCAAATGTTCTTTTGATTCCATTTGGAAAAGTTATGAACAAGGGAGTTTTCTCAGTAGTTTTTTTCTGTGGTAGAAAGATTAGATTGTCATGCAACTTGTTTTGACCAGTGATCCTTTGAAGCCTTTGCTTCGTGCTTCAATATCATGATTTAGGCCCCTCCCATCCCCCAGAACAGTGAAGCTTACCATCTCTTGTACTACGTTTTCTGTGTTGGTTACCACTTCTTATGCTCATTTAGTAGCTAAATAGCTGGAAAATATGACATGTTCTTGTTAGATGAGGTTTAGTCAGTTTTTACTATGCCTTCGAGTAGGCTTGACTCCTTTTCTTTTGGAGTCCTTTGCTCGACATTTGAGGATTTATCAATCTATTGGCACGACTAAGTTTAGGGCATGGACTCTGATATCATGTTAGATGAACACGACTCTCCACAATGGTATGATATTGTCTACTTTGAGCATAAGCTCTTATGGTTTTGCTTTGGCCTTCCCCAAAAGGTCTCACACCAATGGATAGAGTATTCTTTGATTATAAACCCATGATCATTCCCTAAATTAGCCGACGTAGGACTTTCGTCATCCAACCGTTCTAACTTTCTTGACTCTTTCAGCCTTTTCAGTATGTATATATTTTTCTTTTGGGTAAGATTGAAATTAACAACTATCTAACGAAACTCTTGTGATGTGCCTGTTATTGCCAGATTTGGATTTTTTGTTTCACATGTTTTTTCTTGCCCGATACTGCAAACTTCTGGAAGAGAACTCTTTTAGGGGAAGAACAGCAGATTTCATTTATATGCTCTTATTTGGGGCCACGGTGCTTACTGGAATTGTTTTGGTTGGGGGAATGATACCCTACTTGTCCGAGTCAATTGCCGAAGTTGTATTCCTTAGTAACTCACTGACATTCATGATGGTTAGTCTCCATTTAAGACGAGAGCTTTCGTTTCTTTACTTTCATGCAATTTATCTGTACTTCAACAAATCCTTTTATACACAGGTTTACGTATGGAGCAAGCAAAACCCATTCATCCATATGAGCTTTTTAGGCCTCTTTACTTTTACGGCAGCTTACCTGCCATGGGTGAGTAAGTCTGGGTTTCTTTCCCTATTTTAATCTCTTTTAGCTGTCCTTGTGTGAAAATTAGTCTGACTTGATCCCATCCAACGTAAGTTGAATTCTCCATTCACCAGTATAAATGTCATCTTAACTTCACGATAGAATATTTACTTTGTTTCGTTATCTTTTTCCTGCACAGGTTCTTTTGGGATTCTCTGTACTTGTCGGGGCTAGTGCTTGGGTGGATCTTCTGGTATGCCGTCTTGACTTTAAACCATCTGTATTTGGAATATAATTCTTCACAGTTCATTTTATCTGATCCCACCCTTTTCTGGCATATGGTCTTGCTGGATTCTAACGAACTGCCTCTGCAAATGTTTAACCTTTAATCTCCCAAAATTTTTGAGATATAGTACGAACTGTTTCTCTCCAAGAGTTTTTTTTCTTTCGTTTTTTTTTTTTTTTTTTGAAGTTTAAAATATAAATGAAACTTTTGAAAATTTAAGTGTGAATTTGAAATAAGTAGTGACAATTTCTATCTAAAATCAACCTTAAGGATATGTTTTTAGTTTTTTTTTCCTTAAAAGATATTATTGAAACTTTTGGAAGTTTAAAGATATTTTTGAAACTTTTGTGATCCCAACAAAGCAATTGGAGCACTCATTTATGATTATTTAAATGATGAAACTTGGATTTTACGGCCAATAATAATACACTTTTTTATTAGTATGAGTTGGTTCAAGCTAATGTATCATTTTGAGTTATGGTGATGAACTATTTTGCGATTCAGGGCATGGTTGCTGGCCACGCTTATTATTTTCTTGAAGATGTGTACCCACGAATGACAGGCCGACGACCATTAAAAACCCCATCCTTCATCAGGGCATTATTTGCTGAGGAAGCAGTTGTAGTGGCGCGACCCGTGGATTTGAGATTTGCAGCCCCTGCTGCGGAGGATATTCATCAAGATTAGTTAGGTAGTGAACTGGAGTTTTCCCATCTTTTGGACATTTATCCACACTCTAGAAAGGAGCAACCCCTGATGATAAGGAATGTCATTTTCATCTGTAACATAGTGCCAAATGTATTCGCACTGGAATTTCTTGATTCAAATTGTTACCATTGAAGAAGATAAATATAACCTATTCCATGGCCAAGCTTGTACCCGGTGTGCTCTTACTCGAACACAAGCATATTGAATAGTCAAATTAGTAGTGATCTGATTACTTCTTGGAATACAAATCACTTATTAAGAATTTGAGTGATTAAAATTGGTTGGATTCCAAGCAAAAAAGGAAACACAAAGATCAATAATAGTTTCAAATACAATCTTGTTTTGTTTTGAACAGTGTCTGTTCCAACCAAATCAGTAATATAACTCTTATTTCTTTTTGCAGTGAAAACGTTGCAAACCTTGAAAGGAAATACAAACAGAGCAAGGGAAAGCAATTCCACAAAAAGCAAACAAAACCCATTTGAATTTGGAGGCTGAAATCAGAATCAAATGGGAAAGTGGGTGACATCGTCTTTGAGAATCCTGTAACCAAAACCAGGAATCCCATTAAACCGATTGCTTTTTGACAATTCGACAGCAGAGCAAATGTTGGGGAGAATCCCATTGTTGGTTCTTCTCTTCTTCCACTTCCAACTCAACGACAAAAGCCAAAAGCTTGTCTTCGAATCGCTTCTCCTGGAAGCATCTCCACTTAACCGCTGAGAGCCGCCATGGCGTTCGAGCTCTAGCTTGGTGAAGTACTCAATCTCCTTCATAACCAGCGACCCCATAGTGCCTCGCGTGCCGATTGCAAGTGGAGCAACAGCACCCATTTCCTCAGAGAAGCTACTGCTTCTGCTGATGCCTTCATACATTTTACTCAAAAAGGAAGAGACAGTGGCAGTGCCTTCACAGAGCCCTTCTCTCGAGGACGTCCGGTTTTGGGATTGCTTTGAACTCAGGCCATCTCCTTGTGTTGATAAAATGCATCACTGAAATTTTACTTTAGATAAAGTTGACAAATATGAAGTTACTGCGTGATTGGTGGGTTTTTGGAGCGAAATGGACATCATATTCTACTTGTTATTTGCTAAGGAGCCATGATTTTCCATTATAATGTCTTTTTCTGAGAACCCTTTTGACTTGTTAGGCCATGATTACCACAGGCATGCTCAGCTCACAAGGCTCTGCCGAGCATTATGTATATATAATTAATGGCAATGGGTGTAGCGATTAGCGAAGGTTTGTATATAAAAACCTAAGGTAATTAAGGGCTGGTAGATGGTCATGAGCAACTCGCAGCGCACGGCCTAAACAGCAAGTCATTTGCGATGATGCTGATGCTTTATATTTGTGTACCAAACTGAAGAGCCGAAGAACGTAAGTGGACAACTTAATCAGACAGACCCTGTAATTATAGGGTATAAGAGGGGGTTGGATAGCTCAAACCTCACCGACTTTATTCAAATACAACCGCTAAAATGGTTGGTTACCCATATAAAGTATGATTTGTAGCTATGTACTACTACTACGCACAATGGAATGAAACAATAATAATAAATAACGTTACCAATTATTGCGCCTCAGAAAGTAACTATCTCGGAACTCTTCTTCCTGTTGATATGTAGTATACATAATTCAACGCCAACGAGAATCCCCTCACTCCCTGTGGCTGACTACATACAAGCATATAATCTAAATCATAATCAAACTGCACCCTTCTTTCAACTTCCCAGATCTCACAACAGAGATATTCAAAACATATATAACCCTCCTTAATTATCATCTCACAGCTTGGCCTGCGAGTAGAGGAAGGTTCCAAGGATTGCAATGGCAGCTCCAATGGCGTTGATGGGTCGGACAGGCGTGCGGAAGATGATAATGGACGACACTATTACGAATATTCTCTTCATTGTGTTCCCTACGCTGAATGTCAATGGAGATATCTGATCAAGAGACATGTATGACACTTGATTGTACAAGTGGTAGAACATACTTTGAGCTACCAACCACCTGCATTTCAAACAAACAAACAAACAAACAAACAATTCCTTTGAGTGAAACCAGAACAGACCACTTATTTTAGATAACCATGAAATTCGTAGTTACCAAATGAAATTGGGACCAATTTGAGAGAGAGCCTGTTGAAATCCTTCAGCCCACAACTTGGGTCCCTCCACAGCAATGGCGAAAGGAGTAAGAATGAGCAGAGACAGCATTGAAAGGCAAGCATAGTAATTCATCCCACTCACTGACTTCCCCTTCATCCCTTTCTTTGAGAATATGTTTCTAAACACAAATGCCAAGTTCGATATCATCGCTCCCATGAATCCTAAAAACACAACCCCAATTTGCTATATTAATTCACATCAAAATTGAGATTCACATTCACAGCAAAGACTCCTCACCAGTCATGTTGAAATTGAGCTCAGTTAGTGCGGAAAGAGCGCAGCCTCCAATGATAGGGATAAGAGATAAGTAAACAGGCAATGGAAACATCTCGCCCAACAGAAACCTGGAGACCAACACACTGAAAGCCGGCTCCCCACTCTTGATTATGTGAGTGAATGAGACAGCGACTTTGGACATGCTCACAGTTGCTGCAACATGCCCAATAGTATGCGCCACCGCCACCTATCAAAATAATCATGCCACAAAACATCCGATCGGTGATCCAGAGTTTTAGTTTCGAATGCTCTGTTTTGCAGAACCAGAACAAGCAGATCATCGCATAAAAATAATCCCTATTCCTATTTGTTTCGAATGCTCTATTTCGAATGCTCTGTAATGCACTTCCTACATTCAAATTCTTCCAAAAACAAATACCCACCATGATTTTTGTAAGAAAGAACAATTAATCACAAAATTCATCTCCAAAGTTCAAAGATGAAAACAGAGCATAATTGTAATTACCGGCAACAGGGATTTCCAGAAATCCAAATCGGTTTTTGGAGCGTCCACCATTCTAGTGGCCCAAGAAACGAGCATCATAAACGATCCAGCGGCGAGGGAGAGAGTGGAGGTGAGCCATGGATAAGGGAACGCATTAAGAACCTTCTTGTTGTATACATTGAACACCACATTCAAAGCCCACCAAGTGGCGAAATACAGCCCAATCTTAAGTTTCTGACCTGCCTGTTCTTCAGGAAGTTCAACGTTAATCTGCAAACGCCGCGAATCGGCCTCGTACGCCCTGCATTCCGTCGAACGCCCAAACGATTTTACGGGCAAAGAAAGATTATCAACGGATGAGATGTGAAGTGGTTTGTTGATAGAAAAAGATCGATCGAGATGTTTGAGGGCATTGCGATTCGGAAACTGCGCCGGAAGATTCAGCCTCGGAATCGGAGATTTTCGGTTGAGAAGTTCAGAGGAAGCGAAAGTAGAAGATAGGCTGAGTGAAGAGATCATGGTGTTTTCAACGAAAAAAAAAAACCCAGATGGGATTGAACTGAATTTGATTGGAATCAGTTGGCAAATGCAAGGAGAAACGAATTTGTTGGGAAAATGTAGAGACGATGTTGATGTTGGAGAAAATAGTGGGGAAAGGAGAGGCTATATATACGAATTTGAGTTCAATCAGGAAAACGGAGAACCCTGGGATTTTCAAATTTATGGAGGGACAATATGAACCGTGTGATCCTTCTTGCCCGTGCCTATCGGTGAATTTTCATCGGTCTAATGACGAAATGGACGGCTCATGTTTTTTCAATAATTTAAACCTGTTTGTTAAAATAGGGTAAAATAATTAAATTTTACACAGTTGGAATAAAATCACCCATTCAATTTGGTTCTGTTCTCTTACCCATTTAGTTTATAATTTTCAAAACGTCACTGAATTTACCAATTTTATCAAAATTAAAAATATGAAATCACCTCCCATCAAGAAATAATTCACTGAATTCCAAATGTCCAATTAGAGGCAGGCACCCACATGGATCAAACTCTGAGAGTGGTTCTTCACCGTTAAAAGTTCCTAAAGTGAGATTCCAAGTAAATCAAGACCTTTGTGGGTTCAATAATTGACGGCTGTTCGACCAAGATGGGACTTGGCAGGTTTTGTGGGGATTGAGATGAGTTTTGTCTTGTGCACTTTTAGGGACGGACCAACCATTTGGGGTCCCTCGAACCAAAATCAACGGCTATCATCTTAGAATCTATCATTTCGAGAACCATGTTTATAATGCTTGTGTAATAATGCTTGTGTAACGAGTAAACAAAACAGTATAGAATAGTTCAACACACAAACAATACATTGGAATCTATCATTTTGAGAGGGATGTTCATATGGAAACAAATTCAAAACTCAAACAAAGAATTTTTCAGAGTGAATCCAACCAATAAAGGAGAATGAAACATAGGAGTCTCTACACATTATTCACCACCGACCTAATGAGAAGGAAACCTAGAGAAATAGAGAATTACAAAACCACAAAAACCTTCCTAATCGTTGAGTTGTCAATGCCCGAACCTCATCTTAACCCTTCAGGGCTCAATCCTCTGTTTTTCCCGACCTACAAACTCTTCCCGTTCGTCTCTAAAGCACCGTGCGAGGCTGCAGAAAGTGCTTTTCAAGGTGCGTTCTTGACTTCTCAACTCCTCTTCTTCCTCTGCTACTGCTTTCCAATAAATCACAAATTAAACATCCAATATATTTGGAAGATGTCATGTGAAATAATTATCCTACATTTCTTTACCTGCTTAAACTTAAAAAGGAGAGTTTTTTAATCATGGGTTTCACGCATCACAGCGGCTCTGATCCTCTCAACCGTGCACTTAATCAGACTGTTAACGGTGGCAACCGATCCAATTGAAAGTCTCGCCGTTGGAACTGAATCAACCAGGATTTGAAATGCAACAGTGATTAGTGACCCACCGGACCCCACCTCCAGAATTCCTCCGCCGTTGCTGCCGGCGGGTCCGTCGGGAAGTATGGCGAATCCCGATGGTAAAAGCGCCACGTAATCCGGGTCGCAACCGCTTAGCACCACGTTCATTGCAACAGTGTCCACCGGAGCATAAACAACGTATGATCCTGTGGAATCGGTGCAGCTCTCTTGTAGTATCAGCATATTGCTCTGGCTCGAATTTGCACTCTGCACAAAAGAATAAAAAAATCAATTTTTTTTTTCAAATTTGTTAATTTAATTTTGAAAAGAAAAAAATCTTACATTGACACGAAGCAACGAGACACAATTTCCAGAGTGGCGGCCGTTGGCTATGTTTGCCATTTCCTGAACCAAGCCCCTGTTCGACAGAATATCCCACTGAAAAACATTGCAAATATTTTCAGTACTCTGTTTTCGTAAAATTTAAGAATTTGAACAAAATTGATTAACTTGTTGTACCTCGCTTCGAGATTTCTCTTTCCGAAGGAAATCAAACACAACCTTAGGAGAAACAGGGATCCAAAAAGAGGTAGCCGCGCTAAGCACAACACCAGGTGGACGCCCTGGTTCATCGGTGCTTTTCCTCGTCACAACACGAACATCATCACTGCCGGCGGCCGGCAAAGCCGTCCAAGCGTGTATACTGGACGCGCCGACGCCAGCGCAAAAGCTCGTCACCATTCTTTCAGCCAGCTTCAACATACTCTTCCTTCCCTCAATACTCGACATCACTGCCATAATAATCTCATTAGGAAACTACTACTAGTAATGAAAACAGAGGAATATTGGGTTCACATAACTAAGAGCCGTACCGCGTAATTCGCCGGTCGCTATGGTGGTTGCCATGGAAGTGGCTAGACGTTCACACTGCCTATCAAGCGTAGCGACCCATCGTTTAGCTCCAAAAGCGAGGCCTGAATTAACGAGCGGTCTATACATTGAAGGGACGCCAGTTTCGTCGACCTCTACATGTTCCACCCAAGTGATCTAAACAATCCATCACGGATAATTAGTGGGTGTTAATTATTATTGTTTAGATGATAATTGATGATAATTGGAAACAACCTTAGAGTAGCCGTTGGGCAATTCTTGAATTAAACAACCAGAGGGTCTCCGTCGGCCCTTTGGGATGGGAGAAGGGGTCAAAGTGTCCAAGGAAACATCAGCCACAGCCCATGTGCCATCGCTGTGCTGTTTGCAATATCTTACGAAGTAGTTTTCGCGAGTCGGAACCAGCGGCGATGGGACTTGGAATTCAGCGCTCATCTGCGTGTACACACAGAATCGTAGTTAGTTTCGAACTTTAAACAGAACTTTTAGATGCATTTTAGTCCCCGATTAGAACACGATTCCACAGTGGTATGATATAAATCCATAATCTTCCACTAAATTAACTAACATGTGACTCACTCCCAATAATTCTCAACAATGCTCCCCTCAAACAAAGCACACTATAAGCCTCCAATGAGGCTTATGGAGCTCTCGAATAGTCGTCTCCCCTTAATTGAGGCTCGACTCCTTTCTCTAGAGCCCTCGAACAAAGTACACTCTTTGTTCGACACCTTAGTCACTTTTGACTACACCTTCGAGACCCATAATTCTTTGTTCAACATTTGAGAATTTTATCGACATAGTTAAATTTAGGCATGACTCTGATACCATGTTAGAAATCACGGATCTTTAAAACTCAAAGAGGACAATATCTGCTAGCGGTGGATCTGGGTTGTTACAAATGATATCCGAGTCAGTCACCAGACGATGTGTCAGCCTCAAAGGGAGGTGGATTTGGTGGTGATCCCACATTAATGGGTGAAAAAAAAATGAGTGCTAGCAAGGATGTTGGGGCTCGAATGGGGGTGTATTGTGATATCCGACATTAGTTGGGGAGGAAAACAAATCACTCTTTATAAGAGTTGGAAACCTTTACCTAAAAGACGTATTTTAAAGCTTTGAGGGAAAGTCCGAAAAGAAAAATCCCGCCAATATATACTAGCGGTGGATTTTAAAGCTTACAGTATAATTTCTGGTGACTTTGGTTTGAACTTTCACAAAAAGCCTCAAAATATATATATATATATATATATCTCTAAAGTAGTGTAACTAAAACCAGTTGCTAAAGCATATATTTCAGTTAAATATAAATAACATAAAAATGAAAAAATGAATTTGGGTTTAGTTTAATTACCACATGCAAGGCCCCGTTGCAGTTTCCAGGAAGGCCGGCGGAAAGAACCTCCACTGTGGATGCTCTCGAAACAATCCCACAGAACACAGTCGACCATTGCGTCTAAAATAAAATAAAAATAAAAAGGAATAAAAATCCACGGCAACAACAAACCAAATGAAAACAAACGAGAATTACAAAAACATACGGCATCCATAAAAATATCCACAAGCTTCACGTGGTTCATGAACACAATAGCCGAAACACGCGAAGCTTCAGTTCTCAAGCCCAACGATTTGGGCCCAATTCCGCCTCGGAAACTGGTCAAATACTCGGATTCATTAAGCACCACTTCACTGGACTTGGTATCACCCGGAACCCACAAGGGTTCCCCAGCCTGAGCCATCCGGGTCAGTTCATCCATAGCGGAAACGGCCAACTCCACAATGACCGGCTTGTCGGCTTCAGAAGGTCTGGAAATGGAGCGGAGAAAGTCGGCGGTTCCGTACATTTCTCCGACGAAACACGACTGTTGACCGAAATTTGTGATGCCCAAGTCGAGAGATCGCGTGGGGGCGTTGGAGGGGAGGTGGTAATAGGAAGAAGGCAGTGGCTTTCCACATTTTGGGGCATATCCGTTCATTCGGTCGATCTGTGTCAAATCAAGACTCTTGTTGTTAATTTGAAGCCCTAAACTAAACTTCCCTAAAAATAATGCTTAAGGACTCCTCTCAATAAATGCTCAGTACGTTTTGGTAAACAAAGCAATTACAAAGTACAAATAATTAATGAACAAAATTGTGAATTAATGTTTTATGACAAAGAGAGAAAAAGGACAAGGTATTATTAATTTCTAACAATCATAAAAATTTCTTCTTTTTCGTTGTTATAATCCCTACCCACACACCTACACATAGCATTTAATAAACTTTTATTTCCCGAACGTGAGAACAACATGTTTATTTTTTTTGAATACGAAACATTTCAGACGCATTTTAAAATATGGTAAAATATTAGATATAACTCATAGTCAGCTGTCTCTTTCAATAAATTTTAAAATTTTCAATTTTGTAAGTAAAAAAAAGAAAAAAAAGAAAAAAAAAAAAAAGAGAAAACAGAATTTATTAAGGAATCTAGACTTTGTTGGTGAATAATAAATGTTTGGTTGAAAGGGTGAGGTAGTGGTATCTATCAAGAAATATTAGAAGTAGCTATCGTTCATTATTGAAACATGATCTTCCATGTGGGCTATATATGACCTATTTTTTTTTTAGATTTGAAGAAGTATTTTTTTAAAAATATTAAAATAATAATAATAATAAAAAGAGGAGGCGGACCTCATCTCGCAGACGGGAATTCTCGATACGCAAATGTTGATCTTCGAAGGACATTTCGCCGAGGGCTGTGGAGGATCCGCAGTTGGGGCATGTTGAATGGGCGAATGCTTCTCTGTACCGAATATTCTCCGCTCGAAGCTTTTCATTATCGGCTTTTAACATTGCATTTTCATGTCTTTCGTGTTGGGCCTGTTGGAGATGATTAGGAGTGAGTCCCAGGTTGATTGATTTAATAGAAATTTACAAGTGAGAAATACTATTTCTTAATAGGAGGACTCTTGTTAAGCCGAAATAAAAGTCATGAGAGCTTAAGCTCAAAATAGACAATATCGTATCATTATTAAGAGAGCCTTCTCACCTTCAAAACACCTCCAACTTTTTTTTAACTTTGAATTCTAAACCCTAAACACTAAACATGGTGGTCGAGAGATGTCACCTTCATTTGGGTACGCTTGTTCTGGAACCAAAACTTGACTTGCAAAGGCTCCAAACCCAGCTCGCGGCTCAGCTCCATTCTCTGCTTGTCATCTGGGTGAGGACATTCCTTAAAGAATCTGAAACATCAAAGTTCATCAAACACATAATAATTAATAAAAATAAGAAACAAAAAAAAAAAAAAAAAGCCTCTTGGATTTGGTGGTTACGCACGCTTCCATTTCTTGGATTTGGTGCTGCGTATGGCGATTATAGCGCTTCTTCTTGGAGCGTTGTTGGTCACTCCCACAAGCTTCCTCTAACATTTCAGCTCCCGATTTGGCCTCAAAATCATCGTCTCTAACATTCTCCAATTCGTTTTCTGAAGTGTTAAAGGTCATATCAAGCATATGATGATGCGTATCGAACATATCCGGATCGAACATCTTCACTCTCCAACTCTTTCACCAATACAATACGTTCGGTCAATCTATATATCAACAACATGCAGTCACTCGTCAATGACTAGGAGGCAGGTTGCATGAAGAAATTAAAAAAAAAAAAAAAAAAAAAAAAAAAA